GCAAAGACTTTTGCACTGAAATGGCCATTGTCATGCATTTATGTATAAGCTGGCTATATCAGGTTAACATTTTTTTAAGTTGTAGTCATTCCTGGGTAATATGTCTTCCCCAAGGCAGGAGAGGTCTAGAGGGAATAATAACCACATCTGCCTCCTCCTTTAAGATTCATATATTATTGACTGTGCCTTCCTGACAGGAAACATCTGGATGAAAGTGAAAAATGAGGCAGAGAGCTGGTTCTCAGTGACTGGGAGTGATACCAGCCTTTCCTGCTGGCCTGACTTTTCTTTAGCCGAGACCCCGCGAGGAGAGACACTGTTGGCTCATTTACTCTCGAGTGACACACATCCAGCCTCAGACCCTCTTAGAGGAAGCCTCCAGGTCTCCTGTGTCTGCTCTGTGGGTCCCCCAAAAGCCTCAGGCATTGCATGAATGAGGAAATAGCCTTCATTTCTGTTGGACCTTGAGGGATGAGAAGATAAAAGCCACCCTATGAGGTGGGGTCTGGGCCATCCAACTCAAAACCTGCTCTCCCCTCGAGAATGGAGTTCCCCATGCAGTCTGCCTCCAAGGGCTCTGCGTCCGAGAGCCTCACTTCTCTCAATAGCTGTTCTTGACGTGAAGGATACATGCGTGTTTTTATCTATTGAACACGTGTTTGAGCCCAGAATAAACAAACTTAAACAGTTGTCTTTACTTCAGGCCTTTTGCAAGCTTTTCATAGGCTAAGATCCATAGTGGACCTCTAAGAAGATGGTTTGCAGTGTTTTACCGAATTATGTGACCCTGGAGTGTTCTTAGTCCAAAGATTTCAAGTTCCTTTCCGTAATACTTCATAGCTTAAAGTTCATCATCATAGAAGCACAGTCTGGATGCTTTTCTCCTGAACGTATTATTTTATTCTTGCTTATGCCGAAGGTTATCTGTCACGTTTGTGCTGACTTACACACTCTTAGGATAAGTTTTAGGAGCTAATTCCAATTGATTTAATATGATTTTTTAAGTCAGAAGACCTTAGAGAAAAACACAAATGTCTAGATCATGGTGTTCACCTGCTTTCAGATGAGTTATAAAATTTAAGAATAAAACTAGTACCCACCTGGGTCCCCAGGGAATCCCATTATTTTTATTTTTCCCCCAGAGAAGAATTAATTAAGCCCTAGTTTAGTTTCCTGAAATTAAATCTATTTACTTCCCAGCCTATAATTAAGTTTTACAATCTCAGGGTAGTTTGTGGTAAAGAATCTAGCAAAAGACTCTGTAAAAGTCTAAGTAAATCTACTGGTTGCCCCTTAAAAAAAATTAATCCTTTAGGGGATGAGGTGAAAACTCTGGCAGGCTAATAGAGCAAAAATTTTCCCTAATAAAAAAGTCAGTTGTTTTCCCAGAAATGCAATTTTTTTCATATAAATCCCAATAACTTGTCTGGCACTGAATTACAATTTCAGAGTCTCTTCTTCTGGAATCGGGGATGCATCAATCAAGTTTTCACTGGTTCTCTGTCTTTCTCTATTATCCCTTAAGACTTAAGTCAGAGCCAATTTTATTTTAAATAAAAATATGGATTCATGATATAATGCTGATTTTCAAGTAACTTTCAAGCTTTGTTGACAGAGGAAGCCTAATATCCCCACAAATAAAGATGGTGTCATCCAGAGGCTTTGAATATTAATGACGCCGACTCGGGTAGTAAAGGTCTGAAGGAGGAAAGGCTCAGAATTGCAAGGGAAAACAAATCTGCACTTCAGGAATAAACCCTGAAGTTTGATAATAAAAGTCCAAAAGCTACTTATTAAATCAGAAAGGACTGAAGATATTGATATTTCAAAGCTATTTCCAGGGAAACAGACTCAGGTACCCACGCCAAGAGGAGGACAGTGACCTAAGGAGCAAAAAGTAGGGTCGATTCCAAGGAAGCATCTAGAAACCAGGAGGGTCATCCACGCTGGAGAAGGAGGCGGTCAGGGACACTGATTTCTGGCAGCCTGTCCTCTCGCCTTCATTCATCTTTGTCCTGTACTTTTTAGTCCTTGTGTCTCCTATTTAAGCAGCATTCAGCACCTTGCTGCTGCTTCCTTGAAATACTCCCTTCCCCCTCCATTCTCAAGGATCTCTGTTTCAGGCTGCTCTCCTCTATCCTTCTCTGTAGGTGTCTCCTCTGCCCCTCGCTTCAACACGACTCTCCTGGGTGCTCTTCTCTTCTTATGGGGCTCACAGTCTTGGGGGGGCCATACCCATGTCTGTCTTTAATGCCCATCTCCCTACACCTCTGCTGAGCTCAGGCCCTGCAGCCTCCTTCCTGAGGCATCTGCCTAGCTGCCTCCTGGGGAACTGACCCTTACCAGGTCCAAACTCTCCAGAGGGGGAGAAAAGCTACTGCCCCCCGCCCCCCTTTGGCATCCTTTCTAATGGAAACTCAAGAAACTAAATTGAACTGTGTTGAGCAGAAAGAGCTTTAAGTTGACCAGTAGCGTATGTTATGTAATGGGTGAACGTTGATGCAAACCCAGGGAGTCGATGTCATTTCTTAACTCTCCCTCCCAGCCACTCCTCCCTTTTGTCCCCTTGGTTGATGAACCCCTCTTCACCCCAAGAGCTGTGAATCCCATGGAGGAACCCTACTTCCAGCACCTAATTCAGGTACTGAGAATTGCATTTCTGAGCCAGAGGAGAAAAGGCCTTGGATCCAGGAGCTCTGGATTTGCTTGGGACACCACAGTGTGTTCATTTCTGGAGTCGACCTTGTCAGGTGCTCAAGAAATCCAGACCCTGATAGGCTGCAGCTTCATCTTACCCGCTGCCCCCTGCCAGAGAAACACAGCTTGAGTGTCAGGAAAACTTTTTCCTTCCTTAAAAAAATCGATACCCTTCATCAATTTCTTTTTAACAAATGAGATTCTGCATGGCTGGTGATGTCAAGTCATTATTTACTCATGAATAAAGAAATACAGCACAATTTGCGCTGGAGATCACAACCCAGGCTTTGCCTTACTCTCCTCTTTGCTTCCTTGGGGTTAACTCAACAGTGTAGTGATTCGGAAATAAAGGTGACCCTCCCTCCAGCAGCGGCAGCTGGCCCAAGTGGCGCTCTGCAACTTTCTGAAGCAGCAGGCCCTTCCTGCAAACACATCTCACACTGAGCTCTGCAGAGAGTGGCCAGTGTGGAGCTGGGAGATGCTCCTGCAGCAGAGGGCAGGAGATGCCCCTGCTCCTGAGGGAACCATCCGTGACTGGTGGTTAGAATCACCTGGGGAGCCCTGAACCCCTCAAGCCCAGGCTCACTCCAAGTCAAACCAATTTAATCAAAACTTCTTGATATGGGGCCCATAGTGATGAGTTTGCAAGGCTCCCCAGGCGATGCCAGTATGACCTGAGGCTGAGGAGGCTGCATCTGGGTTACACTCGTCAATGGTCTCTTGCCCCTCACCAACCCCCTTAGCTGATTGGGGTCTGGAAGAAGGAACTGAGCTGGTGATGGCTGGCCTGCATGGGATGCTGGGGCCTGCTGCGGCAGCTGCCCCCCTGTGGGGGAAACATGAGCAAGACACAGGCCCAGGCGATGGAGATACATGGCTCTACCGGAGAGAAAGGAGAAATCTGTATTCTATCTGAAAGCTTTTTCCAGACATCAGCTGATCCCAAATTTAAGCAGAAAAGGAGGCATGTTGCTTCAGGCTCCCTGCATTTCCACAGAGACCCCATGTGCTCCTCCTCCCTGGCCCCAGCCTCCAGACAGCCCCTGGAGAGTGCCAGGGAGCTTTGATGGTAAGAGAAGCCATCAAGCAGAAGGTTCTAACCTTGGCTGTGACACGGGGCACCTTCCTTCATCTTTGTGGCTCAGTTTCCTCATCTGTCAAATGAGGGTGATGGCAGTGTCCCTCACAGTTCACATGCTGCCCTCAAACAGCAAAGACCTCTGCAGAAATGCAAATCTCAGCCTCATTCCTCAGTGAGGTTGAGGGCAGGACCCCTGGTTTCTCAGTGAGTTTAATTAATGGCTTAATTGTGAAATATGGGACCCTCTCCTATTCTAGGGACTTCAGAGGAGTTACAGGAATCAAACAAGACCAGATGAGGGAGCACCTTGAGTATAAGCCAGGAGTATTGCTCATTTATTGAGCTGTGAACAGGCCGCTCCAAGCCGGGCATTCTAGCCCAGCAGGGCCTGGTGGACACTGTATGGAGGGCTCTGACGGTCACTTGCTTTGGAGTTACCATGTTCCTGGGACCCAAATTAGGCGGTCCCGCCTTCAGGCAGCAGTGTCCAAGTGGTCAGTACCCAGCTGCTGCGGAATTCGGAACATACACCAAAGCCAGACCAACGACAGGGCCATCAGCGAGGAGGTGTCACAATGACCGGGAGGCCGACGAGCAGCCCCTAAAGAAGAGTGGGTCACGGGGGAGAGGAGACCAGGGCCTTAGAGGGGAGGCGGCATGCTGTGGGCGCGGCCTTCTCTCTGACTGGCTATGAGGGTTCACCTGGGCATACCTGCTGGCCTGGAGCTCTGCCGGAAACATCCGTTGATTCCCCCCAATAATGCACAACCCTCCCGCTCCAGTTCCAGACTCACCACTCACCCTGGCTTCAAGTCCGTCTGTGGGGGCTCAGTAAAGAGGGGCCGCTGTTTGGAAGCACTCACGTCTCCCGGAGCAAGTGTGAAATGGGGAATCTCGGGCCCCAGCCCAGGCCTACAGAGTCAGAACCTGCCTCTTAAGATCCCCCCATGGTCCTTTGCACATCAGAGTACCAGAGTGCCCCTCCACACTCCCGGGGCAGCCTCTGGACACCGGGACCCTGAGAACTGGGTGACTCATGCGGTCTGGACCCCCGGGGATGTGGGGGGGCCGCAGTGAAAGTCACTCCAATACAGTGTCCCTTGTGTTTGACATCAGAGGGAGGTTTGAAGGCCCTGGGGGCAGCTCATTTGAAGCCACCTGCTCTCATGATGCAACCTGAGCCTGCTCCTTAAGAAGGCAGCTGGCATTTCCCTGGTCTCACCTCATTCAGCTTCTCAGGACTGAAGGCGGAAGTCAGGACACTTCTGACCTCTTCCCATCTCTTGTCTCGTAAAAACAGGATGCTGTCAGCCACTGGCTTGGATTCCAAGCCTGATGCCTGATGGGAAGTGACAAGCAGAGGGTTAGGACACTCAGAAACCAAGGTCACCTTGGAGGTCACACGGGTCCATGGTGGACAGTGTTCTTATAATCCACCAGGGACCTCCAAGTGGGGAGATTTCTCTTGCAAGGATACAGGAAAAATCAAGACTCACAGAGAATGATCTAAAACGTCACCACCAGGGGCCGTGGGGTGGGGGTGCAGATGGGTAAGCCCTGCTGGTCCCGTCCTGCCCTGTCACGACATGTCACCCTGTAGAAGCACTCAGGGGCTCCTGGGGCTCTGCAGTCCCTGCTGAGCAAGGCTTCCCTGAGGACCAGACAGCAGGCTTCTCGGAGATGGGCTTGTCTCCCTGGGACTCAGTGCCCTGTCTGCAGTCAGTGGCAAGGGACTTGTGGCTGGATTGTTTAGGTTGGGCGGGGAGTTGACAGATATGTGGGTGGGTCCATGGGGGGTGGAGTGGAGAGAGAGAAAGTGGGGAATGTGGGGGTAAAGAAGAGGGGAAAAGAAGACTCTTTCAGAGGCATGTTCCAATAGAGCCACTTCCAAATGTACACCCTGCACATTTCTTGTTCATTCACTCATTCATTTTTCTCTTTCAACATTTATTGAATGTTTGATAATTCAAGGAGCTGGCTAGCCAGTATTTAGTAAAGACATCGCTTTGGCCCTCGTGGAGTTGATAGTCTAGTGGGGACAGTAAGCTCATAAACCTACCAAGAGTTGTTACGGTGTGTGAGAACATGAGTTATGAAGGGAGGGGGATGGGGCTAGTGGAGAACATGGGATGGGCCTCGAAGCCTGGCAAGGCTGCTCTGAGGATGAGATGTTTAAGCTGAGTCTGAAGCGTGCTGAGGGTGAAATCGCCTTATCCCTTCTTCCACGTCATTCTATTCCTTTCTCAAACCAGCTGTCTCACCACGTAGTCAAAACTGGGGTCTCCAAAGTTGGTCAAGACACCCCCAGACCCAGGGCGGTGGGAGACAGGGGGACTGGAGGATCAAGCCCTCCTCAAAACCCCGTGTGATGTACGGTTTCACTATTTCTCTTCACTGTTTTAATTATAGTTGGAACATGAAGCCAGCATCATAATTCAAAAGCCTTGTAAAAACTACTATTTGGAGGAAAATTATAATTTTCTGATAAAATATGAACACTCAAAATAAGCTATAAAACATAGCTGCAGAGTATCTAGGGAGGATTTAATTATATATTAGAAGCAAGTGGCTGGGATATTTTTCTGCAGAGGAATACCTCTCTATATTTAGAATGAAATTCTTTAGAAGTGTCACGGTCACTATCCAGAACTGTGGGTTTATGGAATTTCTGGAACACAACCCGTTTGTTTAGGTTCCAGAGTCAAAGGAGGAAATTGTACGTTATGTTATTTGTGTGTTGGCCAGCACCCAGGCCTGTGCCACGCTACACGTGATAAAGCATTTACTCCCAGGGGAGCTGGTTGATGGGGTTCTGGTGAAACAGAATAAAAAAGAGTCAAGATCTATTGGATTTTGTGTTTCTCCTTCAGACTTAAGGAATGGACCCAGGAGTTTTTACCTGGAGGACAAATCCAGGCCTGTGTGCCACCTGTCCAGACGCCCCCCAATGTCTCCCTCAACAACCCTCATGGCAGCCATCTCCCCTCAGCCACCAAGTCCATTATAGTTTTTCATGTGTTTTGATGGAAAATTTCAGGATCATTAGTTACTGTTTCATTTCTAGACCCCATACTGCAAGACAGAGCAGCAAACACATCTCACCAGAAGAACCGAGAGTGAGGGGACATGGAATAATGTCTTATGAAATTGAAATCTAACTGGAAAGAGAAAACTCAGAAGATCGCAGAGTGGGACTTATATGTGCTCAAAGAAAAAATGTGTTGATTGCACATTACACAGAGTGGGCAGCAGCTTGTTTTTGTGACTCTCGGGGGTAGAACTAGATTCATGAGTGGAAGCTATGGGGAAAATTCTAGCTCTGCCTTGAGTGATGAGCTCCCCGTCACTGGACACTGTACCCCACTTCTTGGAAGTTTGTTCTAAATGCCCTTTAAGAACTCTTCTGACTCTGAGGCTTTATCTCCAGGAGACCACTCCAGGTATTTTTTTTTATTAGTTTGTACACACACACACACACACACATCCCCCCCCCCCCCATATAATGCAGGACCTTCTTGAGCATTGTCGAGTACGCAGTTGGGTAGAGTAAGTACTTTCACTCTGTGGGGCAGCCTTCACCGCCGTGCATCACCAGAATTCTTGTCATCTTGAAAAACTGGAACTCTGGGCCCATTAAATGTGAATAACTGCCCACTGCCCCTCCCCGCCCCCACCTGTATATAATAACATATTAGGGTTACGGATGCGGCAGCTCTAGGGACAGAGCGCTGTCGCTGAAGGGAATGAGGCACAGGACTGGTAGATTTGATGCGGGAGGACTGTGAGTGTGGGGGCGGAACGGAGATGCTGGTGACAGGGTTTTGGGGTTCCCATCCTGTCAGTCTAACCCTGTGTGCAGAGTCTCAGTTGAACCCCTCCAATCACTTTCCAGTTGGGTTTGATCAGCCTGTTCTCTCTCTCTCTGCAGCCACCATCCGGGCTGAGGTCACCATGATCTCACGACCCCCACGGTTCCCCTGCCTCCAGCCTTATCTTTACTTCCCGTGTCCCCACTAATCTGCAGGACCTTTCTGAAACACAGGCCTCATCTTGTCCAGTGACCGCTTTTTATGGGAACCTCTAACTTGGCTCTTTAGGGTGCCTTTCCAAAGTGTGCAACGCAAGGTCTAAAGGGCTCTTTAATGCCCCCGTCCCTGCAGGTCCCTCGATACACAGGCAGCCCCACAACCTACTCCAGGTACAAGTTAATCAGCAGTCGATCACAGTCCTAATAGAGGAAGGAGAAACAAAACTTCCAGAGAATATCTTTGTGACCTTGTAGACAGGCAAGCCTTCTTCAACAGAATGCCAAAAGAAATAGCCGTGAAAGAAGATTTTTCTATACTGGACTTATATTAACAAAGGATGTCATTAAAATGAGTAAGCGAACCACAGATTGGAGAAGACATTCACAATACGCCTATCTGACAAAAGACTCATATAAAGAATGATAGTATGTCGATCGTAAAAAGTCAAGCACCTTAAAAATGGGCAGAATTAGACAATTCATAAAAAAGACATCCCAGTGTGATGTCCCATGAACATATGAAATAGTGTGCAACATCACCGGTCACCCAATGCAAATTAGAACAGTAATGAGATGCCTGATAACCCAGTCGCCAGAATAACTACCATGAAAAACAATGACAGGACAAACTGTTGACTAAAATGTGGAACAATTGGACCTTCTTTCATCACTGCTGGGAGTAGGAATTGGCTCATCCACTTTGGAAAACTGTTTCATAGTATGTATCAAAAAGGCAAACATACACCCTAGCTTATGATCCAACTATTTCACCCCTAAATATATGCCACCAAGAACAATCTTGATATGCTCAAACCAACTTAATTTGTAGTAGTAAAAGCTGGAAAGTACCTAAATGTCTGTCAATAGAGGAATAGATAAATTATGGTATATTTCTACATTGGAATACTATACAACAATTAAAAAAGAATGAACTCCCAACATGTTGTAGTTGAATTTCCCAGATACTGTGTTGAGCAGAAGAAGCCAGGACAAAAGGACACATACTCTGTGTTACCATTTACATGAAGTTCAAGAGCAGGAAAAAAAATCAATGGTGATAGATGTCAGAGGATTGATTATCTCTGGGTGGTGATGGTGATGATGGGTGTTTGACTAGGAAAAGGCCTGAGGGAACCTTCTGGAGTGTTGGAAATGTGCGACATCTTGATTCGGGTGTTAGTTACATGGGTGCATACATATGCAACAATTCATTGAACTTTAACTCAAGATTTGTATATATAAGTTATCTCAATTTAAAAAAATACTAAACAACCAAAAACATTTATTTGGACAGACTTGAATGCTGGAAGCCTACCAACACGATGAAAATCAACAGATGTAACTTTAAGACTCCATATTTAGATGAAAACTTCAGTTGTGCAGAGTATGGGATGGAAGAAAACTGACTTACAGAAATCCATGTGCTGCTGTGATAAATGAAGGAGAGGGACCATATGATCTGCACAACGGTCTCCAGAAGAGGACTCCAGAATTTAAGGGGCTATCAGGGCACCCCCTCTGCTCAGGAATCCCCTGGCCAGTTGGGATCCTTCTGACTACCACCAAGGTCACCACGCTCCAACATGATCTCTGACTTGTTGCAGGCTTAGGGGATTGCAAATTCAGCTTATCAAGTGTGAACCTCAATGGAGCACCCACTATATGCCAGGTGTTATGCTCCCACCAAAACTATCAGGACTCCCTGATGACTGGGAGAGTAGGTACAAGGTGGTTTATAACCAACACATGTTGATCTTGCAGCTAACAACGTGCTTTTTGAATTAGTTCATTAGTTCATTAATTTGGGGGTAGTGCCCCAGTAATTAGGAAACACCATCCTGATAAGCAGTGTTGGTTCAGAAGCAGCCTCCTGGCCCCCCTGCTGTTTTCCTGGACAGCTGAACATGTTTGCCTCTTCAATTAAGATCTCTTAAAATAGAGTCTCTCTTCTTAGTAGATCAGCAAAGCATAAACTTTAAACTTTGAAGAATTACACAATGCCGAGTAGCAAGTTATTACAGAAAACCAACACCTCTGCATTCTGTGCTCCCAGGAAGAGAACAACTATTTATTGCAAGGGCCAGACCAGGGATTCTCAGCTGACCCAGTGAGTGAGCATTGGTGTAGAGTGGTAAGCACAGAGCTACTCACTCTTCCCAAAAAGCTGCAGCATTGCATTTTTGCTGTTCCCGAGTATGCATGCTGTTCTAAAAAAGACATAATAGAATATGAAGCCATAGCTCCCCACCCCCTACAAAAGAAAAAAGGTCTTCTTGTGTTGTTCTGGAACATGCAAGACCATTGACTTAAGA